ACACTCTTCTTTTGGTTTTTCTTCATTTGTGTAGATTTTTCTCTCTCTCCCCCTTTCTCTCCCCTTCTTTAATTCTGTTTTTGAGGGAAGGTAGGGTTGCTTTAGTTTCACTTGTGTAATCTCCTGTTCTTCCTGATGAGGGTCCTCTGGCTTTGTTCACTTTTGAGGTTGGAGTGTTGACTGCGGGCTGTACTTTTTGCAGTTTTGATGTTTAATTGAGGGAAAAGCTGTGGTTCAGGATGTATATGCTGATTCTAGCATCCTCCGACATGTGTATGAGCACACTGGAACCTATTTTCCACTGCCTTACAATCTGTCTGTCCATCTAGGCTTGGTCCCTAGATTAAACGGAGGTATAAGAGAGGAAAATAATGGAGGAACGGGGGCTCAATAGGAAGTTAGAAAGAGAGAAGAGCGAGAGGGAAAACAGACATATATACCAACCAACAGGTGAGAAAGAGGCACAAGGCTGGAGAAAAGTGAAAAAAAACACGTAAGAAAGATTCTCTAAAGAATACTGGTAGCTACACAGAGACAGACCAATAAAATCATGAAACAGTGTAAGTCAGAAAGCAAACAACAAACATGATCAAAACAAACAGTCAAAATGGTAAAATCAAAAGTTAAAATAAGAGATCAGACTAAAGTCACTTCAGTTCTGATCTCCAGCCTCTCTCTTTTGTTTTTCATTGCAGGCAGCTAGATTTACTTGCAGTTTGGGTTTGTTTTTTATTAGCTTGCTGCCTGGGAGGCTTGCGATGCTTAGTTGCTTTTGTCTGATTTGGCATATGGGTGGGGCTTTGTCTCCTGTTTAGTGACATTACCTTAGGGACCGAGGTGGGGGTTGCTTGTAGGTGGGCGGGGCAATGCAAATCTCTGTCTGGAGAATGGCCGAGGTGGCAGTTTCACTTTCGCAGATCATTTCTCTCTGCATGTCTGGGTTCCCAAGCTTGGGCTCATGTGCTGAGTGCCTCAGCCAGGTTGGGCCCAGAGCTCCAGAGCTGTAAAGCTCCAAAGGGCAGGTGGTGAGTGGTGAGAGTGGCCCTGGGCCCCCCACAGGGTACTTCAGCCAGGAATGGGACCAGTGTCTCTGAGGGGTGGGCACCCAGAGCCTCCCTGAGTGAACAGAGGCTTGGTGCCGGGTACTGGGCAAGAGACGATATAGCCAGGGAGGGAGCTGAGACCCAAGATCCCGTGCAGGTGGGAGTCACATATGGTGGAACAGCAGCAGCCGGGGGCTGCAATATCTGGCACTGCGTGGGACCAAAGGTCCCTGGGCCTCAGACCAGTACTGCTGGCGGTGGGGAGGGGGATGGGGGAAGAAAATTAAGAGTCTTTTTGGGAACTCACGTTCGGAGAATCTCACAAGTCCACCTATGCTGATGCCATCTTACTGGAACGTCTCCACTGAACATCATTAATCATCAGGGATCTTTTTTATTTCTGGGGCTTCAGTTGTAATGTCTCCTTTTATTTCTTATTTTATCTATTTGAGTCTTATTTCTTAGTCTAGTGAAAGATCAGTAAATTTTATTTTTTAAACAAAGTAATTCAGTTTTATTCATTTTTCTATTGTTTTTATATTTCTATTTTGTTTATTTCTGCTCTAATCATATGATTTTCTTTCTTGTGCTAACTTTAGAATATGTTTAATTTTCTTTTACTAGTTCCTTTAAATGTAAAGTTATGTTGTTGATTTGAGATCTTTCTTCCTTTTAAATTTAGATTTTTATCCCCATAAACTTCCCTCTTAGTATTGATTTTCTGCATCTCATTGTTTTTGACATGTTGTGTTTTTATTTTCATTTATCGTAAGAAATTTTATAATTTCCTTTTCGATTTCTTCTTTGACACACTGGTTGCTTAAGTGTGTGGTTTAATTTCCACATATTTGTGAACTTCCCAGTTTCTCTTCTGCTATTCATTTCTAGTTTCATTCCACTATGGTCAGAAAATATACTTGGTATTATTTCAGACTCCTTAAGTTTGCTAAGATTCATGTTGTGACCTAACATGGGCAATCTATCTTGGAGAATAGTGTGTGTACTTGAGAAGAATGCATATTCTGTTGCTGTTGAGTGGAATATTCTGTTAGGTCCATTTGGTCTAGAGTGCTGTTGTTGTCCAAGTTGGCTGTTTCCTTTTTGATTTTCTATCTGAGTGATCTATCCATTATTGAAAGCAATGAGACTGGGTATGGTGGCTCACACCTGTAATACCAGCACTTTGGGATGCCAAGGTGGGAGAATTTCTTGAGTCCAGGAGTTCAAGACCAGCCTGGGCAATACAGTGAAACCTTGTCTCCACAAAATACAATAAAATAAATTAGCCAGGCATGTTAGCACAAGCCTATGGTCCCAGCTACTCAGGAAGCTGAGGCAGAAGGATCACTTGAGCCAAGAGGTTGAGACTGTGGTGATCCATGATTATGCCTCTGTACTCCAGCCTAAGTGACAGAGTGAGACCTTCACTCAAAAAAAGAAAAAAGTGGGATAATGAAGGCTCCTACTATTATTGCATTGCAATCATTTTCTCCCTTCAGTTCTGTTAATGTTTGCTTTATATATTCAGGTACTCTCATGTCGAGTACATATGTTTATAATTGTTATATCTTCCTAGTGAATTGGCCTTTTATCATTCTATAATGACCTTCTTTGTCTCTTTTACTTAAAGTCTATTTTGTCTCATATAAATATAGTCATTTGATCTCTGATGGTTATCATTTACCTGGATTATTTTTTTTCCCATCTCTTCACTTTAAGCCTTTGTGTGTCCCTAAATTTAAAGTAAATCTCTTGTAGACAGAATATAGTTAAATCTTTTTATATATCCATTTATTCACTCTATATATTTTGATTAGGAAGTTTAACACATTTGAAGTAATTATTGATGGGGAAGGAGTTACTATTGCCATTAAAAAATGTTTTCTGTCTTGTAGCTTTTTTCCCCTCTTCCTTTATTGCTGTCTTTCTTTGTTTTGTTGATCATTTGCATTGATATTCTTTCATTTTTTTCTCTAATTATTTATCTTCAAAAGGAACTTTCTTTGTGGTTACTAGAGGATTTACACATAACATTTCACAGTTATAATGGTATATCTAGGCTGACAATAACTTCAATTATAAACAAAAAAATCTACAGTTTTACTTCTTCACATTCTACACTTTGTGTTGTTGATGTAACAATTTACATCTTTGTATATTGTGTATCCATTAACATATTTTATAGTTATTTTAATGCTTTTAACTTTCTTTTAACATTTGTCATTTGATCGAGTGTTCTATTTTTTTAACCAGTCATGACAGTTTTTTTTTACTTTATTTTATAAGTTTTATATGTCACTTTACAAAGTGTATTTTTTTGCATGTACACTCTGAATGGTTGTCAATAAGTGGTGCATAGGTCATTAACGCATCTCTTCCTCCACTGCTCCCACATTTTAAATCTTTACTTTCCTTCCTATTCCCTATGTAGGCTGGTATCTGAGATCAGCTCTCAGTCCTCCTCCTCTTTATTCTTCCCCTTCTTCTCTATCTGCCTACCCCATTCCCAAGTGCCTGCTTGCCCCAGAATCAATGCATGTGGGGAACTGTGGGAGCCTACTTACCTGTGATGAGATGACAGAAAGAGAGGTAAAGAAGAGACTCAGCTGTTCCTTTAGCTGATCCTTCTTTAAGCCTGGCTCCTGAATTACTCCCATGGGGTTCCTGGGAACCCTCACCCTACACCCTATCTCACACTTCACTTTGGGCTTCCAAGGTGCCCTGTTCAAGTCAATGAATACTTAACTCAACAAACATATTTCCCTTCAGTTCTGCAAAAGTCTCCTGTATTTACTAAACTTGGAAAAGCCCACAACTCAGACCCAAGGATCAGTAAAGAAATTCACAAAAGCTTTCTTTTGTGAAAGCTGTTTTTTTTCTCCAAAGAGAAGAAGAATATGATTTCATCCTTTGTATCCAATGATTTACTCTAAGGACCTTTTTGCACCTTAGTCTTCCCTGACAGAGTGGAAAAAGAAGGTAGCGAAATGTGGAGGGGTACAAATGAGTATTTGTCTTTCTGATTCCTTCTTTAGGATGTTTACTAACTGTGGTCAGTGTTCAAATATCACTTTCCTGGGTGCCCATCCAACTAGCTTCTGCTCCTGCCACACTCCATTCTGCAGCCTTGTATTTCTTTCACACCATTTATTTCTAGCTGACATTATCTTGTTCACTTATGTTTGTGTTTACTTCCATTACCTACTAGAGTGTGCACTCTGTTAGAGCAGGAAAACTGTCTTGTTCACAAACTGTGTCTTCAGTGCCTAGAATACTATCCAGCCCAGAACAAGAACAGAGTAAAATATTTGTTGAATAAATGAATGAGCCTTCCTTAAAAATCTGAGTCATGCATCTTTAGATTTTACTTCACTGCATTCTACGGTGGGAAATTACTTTCTCCAGTGGTGAAGTATTTGGAGATTCATAAATGACTCAGAGTATAGGCGTAATAAATACCAAGGTCTATTTTATTATTTTAGAAAATATCTGGCCTATAGACCTAACTAATTCACTGCAATAGAACCCTCTTTTTGTGGGAGACAGCATTTCATGTTCTAAATAAATAGCATTTGCAAGATGGAAACAATTTATAATCACTAAGGACAATGTGATTTACAGGACTTACAATGTGATGAAAACTAAACAAGATGACCACACGTGCTGACCAAGGTAGTGACCTTGGATGGGTGGGGTGCAGGGTGGCAGGGAAACTTTTTTGGTGAGGAGCCTGTGTGGACACACTGCCACCAAGTGGTGCTTCAAACAATCACAGACTCTTCTTTCCCAAGAAGAGACTTTACTTTTCTATCATTTACAAATGTTTAGTATTTCATATTTTCAGTACTTGTCTAAGTTAATAAAAGAATAAAAATTTTTCCAAAATTCTGGTGTGACTAAAACTAACTAAATATAATTTTTTTAAAAAATCAACTCTTTTTACCACAACAACTAAGCCAATAAATAAGCCACCTCAGCACCAAAAACACAGAAATTGTTAACAACATGGATATATTTCAGGGAACCACTGTTCTACTTTAAATGAATGCAGTTTATTTCTTCCACTTGTAGCAACACTTGGTACAAAGATTTATGTAACTATTAAAGAAATAAGTGTTAAAGAAAATCAAAGTGTCCCAACATTTGTTTACATAATAAGAAGTAATACTAGTAGGCATTTAAAAAAAAACCTATTATAGGCTAGGCTGTGTCCTAACCCTTTTGTATACATTAACTAATTTAATTCTCATGCAATAAGATAGGTAACTAATGTTATCTTCATTACATTGTGGTATAAATAATTAATTGCTTATGATGTGAGGAGTCTATTAATCTAAGTATAGAAGAGAAAGATTAATTTCATGGAGTTTACTTGGAAATTGTTTTTCTTCAATTAAATGAGAAATTGATACCATTTAATCTTTTGTCAGTGGGAGAATTTATCCAAGAAGGATTGTAACAATCTGCTCCCCTTATAATCCATGCAACTTATCATAAATAAAAAAATGGGAAATATATTACTCATTTGAGTCCCTGAAACATGGATAATATGAATAATTGAATAGAGAGTTTCTATGAATAAGCATTAATGCAAAGTACATTCATGTTCAACATAAAGCTTTCATGATCGTATAAAAAAAGAGTTTATTCACATCAGACATTGCACAGGTCTGTCTGCCATTTGTCATCTGTTTTCCACCCAGGTATGTTGATATGAGTGATATTGCCTTTTCCACAATATGAGGCTTGGATATTTAAACCGTCAACTGCATTGATCTCTTATTTCAGGTGGAACGAGATTAAGGTAAAATAATAATTTAAAATTATTTAATATTTAATAAAACTATTCTAAAGCTGCTCAAAAGTCTTTCACTAAATTTGATTTTTTTTTTAGATTGGAAAATATAGTTTATTTAGAAAGTAAATCAGAGCGAGAGAGAGAGAAAAGATTCACCTCTCCAGACCCAAAGCTTAGACAAACATGGCCAGACCAGTGCTTGACAAAACAATGGCCTAAATTTGATTTTTAACAACCTTCTTTAACACATTTTTACTAAAGAAGTAGTTACTGCTACATATTATAAAACTACCAAAACGATTAATGCAGTAAAAAATGTAGCTTACAAATTTAATTACAAGGAAAGAAAAACATCTTTGATTTTTAAAGTACTGTTCATAAGACAATGTCGGGAAGTTTAAATCAGAATTTCAATAAACCTTACTTTTCTATAGCACTTCTCAGTGATCAATGTAATTTATGAAAATTATCTTATTTGAGGCTTAGAAGCAGGCTACAAGAGTGGCAAAAATAAAGACTGTCCACCCCACTTTGTGAGTAAGTAATAAAGGTTAGAATATCATCACATAAAGTATGACAGCATATTAGAGATAATTTTATATGATTATGTCAAATGGCCTTTTGTATTTCTTATATTTTGTTGGATTGCTTTTATAACCAGACTCTCAAAGACTTTAGAATACTACAAATTTAAATGACTTTATTATTTTTAAAAAATTAAATTAAAATGCACAAATATAAGCAATTCTATTGGCAAAAATGAATACTCTAATCAGCAAATGGCAAGTTTGACAATGGTGAATCCCATCACTGGGAAGGAACAGATTTAGATACTTAAGAAATTAAAACAAAAGGCCTATTACTAGCTATCTGTGTTTAATAGTAATGCAATTAATCATACAATTTGCTGGCTAGGTAAAACATTTCCAAGACTGTAAGCTAACAATTATGAGAACCATAAATTAGCTTATGCAGCAATTATAATAGCTAACACTCCTATTTGCCAGGCATTGTTTTAAGCACTTTATAGAATAGCTCACTTGACCCTCACAACACTGTGAGGTAGGCACTAATTTTACAAATTAGGAAAGGGGGTCACTGAGAGGTCAAGTAATTTACCCAAAAGTACTGGTAGCTAATGAACACTGGAGCCAAGATTCAAACCCACATAGTTTTTGAAGTTATGAACTTAAGCACTGGGCTTTCAGTTATGTTCTGATCACACTGTTCTCTATGGATAGGGTCCAAATGAGATGTGGGATTTGCTGAAGCAGACAATAAAGTCAGTTGTTCAAGTCTTCTAGGAAGCACTTCTCTACTAAAAATGCAATCTAAGGGCAAAAACATCATTTCATTCTGCATCTAAAAGAATCCAGATGCTCACTCCTTTGAACTGCTGGAGACCCAGTTGGAGATCCTAAACCACCTACTATAGTCTTGTTTCTTGTCATCAGAGAAACATATTGGAGGGAATTTAGTAAAAAAAGTTTGTTCATTCTTTTCTCATTGTAAGAATAGTTTGAAGATGTGAAACCTCAAGCAAGTCTCAAAGTGGCTATCTGACAAGTATTGCAGGAACTGAGGAATCTTCATTGTGAAAAAAAGTCACCGAAGGAGTTTTGGTAAGATGGCGACAGCACAGGTGGGACTGTGAGATTCTCCGAAAGTGAGAACCCCCCAGCCGCACCAGTCCGAGGCCTGGAAACCATTGGTCCCAAACACAGCTGGCTACTGCGGCCCCTCTGCAGCTGCTGTTCCACCCCAGGCGGCCCCAGTCCCAGCCAAGTGGAGCTCCCAGCTCCCTCCCCAGCTACACTGTCTCACCTGGCCCCAAGCCACCCACCACCACCTGTGGAGGCCCTCGGATACTGCCTTGTGAAGATCTGGTTCCCTTGCTGGCCACACTGGTCTGCCCAGCATTCAGCCGCTGCCAGTTCCCTCCCTGACTGGGCGCCCAGCCCAGTCTCAGGTCATGGTAGCCCATGGAGGCCCTCCACACTCACCCTTCAGAACTACAGGTTCCATTCCCTCCTGGGGTTCCTCACCAGTCCCAAGACTGCAGCTGCCCACCCAGGCCCCTAGCACCTGTACCTCTGGGCTCTGCGCCACCACCCAGGCTGAAACATCCAAAGCTGCAGCTGGTGCTTGACCCTCAGAGTTCTGGGCCCCTGCCCTGGGTTCCAGGTTCCCACCCAGCCCCATCTCAAGCTGCCATCTGTCCCTCAGAGATACCAGCTCCATTCCTGGCTGAAGTGCCCTGTGGGGAACCCAAAGCTGCTGCCGCCACCTACCACCCACCCTTTGGAGCTCTGGTCCCCACTCTGGCTGAGCGCCCAGCAGTCTTGCACTCCACTTCCACCAACTCGCCCCTGACTACAGCAGACCAGAGAATAGCTGGAGCCCTGTGATCTACAGCGACTCACCCACCCAGTCCTGCCTAACCTCCAAATTGGGAGCTAAGACCCCATGGTTGTGTAAGGGAACAGTAAATCTTAAAGAGGTGCTGAATAGCCACTCTCAGCTCTCGGCTCCAGCACTGGGGAATTCCCAGTGCCCAGCTATATGGATGATTCCCAGTGCCTGACCCCAGACACACATCACCATGGACCATCATAGTGGATCATCCACAGACCAGATGAATGGAGAGAAAAGACAAGTGGAGAGAAAGGACCGGTGAAAGAGGAGCCACCCACCGCAGCCATTTTCCAGGCAGAGATTTGCGTTGCCCTGCCCATCTACAAGCAGCCTCCACTTGGTTTCTAAGGTAACCTTACCAAACAGAGACAAAAGGCCCTCCCATATGCTGAATCAGACACAGGCAACTCAGTCCTGTGGCAGACCTATCAGGCAGCAAGCTAAGGGAACCAACCCAACCTATAAGTAAGTCTAACTGCCTGAAAGGGGAGAGGCTAGAGATCAGAGCTGAAGAGACTTTAGACACTCAGGAAAGACTCCAGAGCTAGTCTGGTTTCTTATTTTGATTTTTTATTTTATTGTTTTGACTATTTGTTTTGCTCACTTTTGATTGCTTTTTGAGTTAGACTACTTGTTTGTCTTGGGAAAAAGTACATCAAAAGGCATGAATTTATTTGACTGCCTTTGTGTGATTACCAGTATGCTTTAAGGAATCTTATTTGTTTGTTTGATTTTTATTCTTTTCTGCCTTGTGTCTCTTTTCATTCATTTGTTGATATGAATGTCTGTTTTCCCCCTTACTCTTCTCTCTCTCCAACTTCCTCTTCATCCCCCTTCCATTATTTTCCTTTTTCTTACCTCATTTGGTTCCAGGGAGCAAACCTAAACCCCACTGCATGGACAGATTGTAATGCAGTAAGAAGTGGGCTCCAGTGTGCCCATACACCTATTGATGGATACTGGGATCTGCAGATAGATTCTGAATCACAGCTTCCCCCTCAATTAAATCTCAAAACTGCAAAAAGTACAGCCCCAACCTACAGTCCAGCCTCAAAAGTGAACAAAGCCAGAGGAGGCTCATAAGGAAGAACAGGAGATTGAACAAAAAGAAGTAAAAGCAACCCCACATTTCCTGAAAAACAGAATTAAAGAAGGGGAGGGAAAGGAGAGAGAAAAATCTACACAAATGAAGAAAAACCAAAAGAAGAATATGGATCTCTCACAGACCCCTGGGAGGTCAGACAATAAGAAAACTGACTTTGGAATGAAAAAAATGAATAGCCCCCAGAATGACTGGTCTCAAACTACAAACCCAGATATCAAGACATTAATGGAGAGATTAAAAAAGAATTGAGGAGAGAAAAGAAGAAACTAGGAAGGAGTTGATAACTGAGATAACAGTAGTAAAAAAAATATTGTGAATGAAATAAATAGCAAACTGATAAGCATGGAAAGCAGAATTAGCCAAGTAGAAGAAAGAATCTCAGAACTTGAGGACCAAAATATAGAACTAACCCAAACTATCAAAAACATAGAAAAGAAGCTCAAAATGACAGAAAAAAGCCTTCAAGAGATGAGCAATTACTTTAAAAGACTGAACCTAAGAGTAATTGGACTTCTTGAGGCAGAGAGACAGAGACCACACTGGAACGAATATTCCATGAGATTATTCAAGAAAACTTCCCTCACTCATCAGTGATATGAAAATTCAAGCCTAAGAGATTCAGAAAACCCCTTCAAGTCAACAAATGAGAAGACCAACTCCCAGACACATAATAATTCACCTAAACAAAGTACGTATAAAAGAAAAATTCCTAAAGGAAGCAAGAGAAAAAGGTCAGATTACCTACCATGGAAGACCAATTAGAATAGCAGCAGATTTATCTACAGAAACCCTTCAGGCCAGAAGAGCTTGGAGCCCTATCTTCAAAGTTCTAAAAGATAAACAATTTCAACCAAGAATAACCTACCCAGCCAAGCTAAGCTTCATCAGTGAGGGAGACTAAAAATCTTTCCCAGATATCCAATCCCTAAGAAATTATGCTGCCACCAGACCACCTCTACAAGAAACACTTAAGAAAGTATTAAACACAGAAGAAAAAGAAAAAGAACAACAACATTCTTCAAAAGAGTACAGAAAAAAGGTTAAAAACACACATGAACCAACCCCAAAACCAAAAGAAAGACAGCAACAGCAACAACAACTCTATAAGAACCTTATGATAGGGATCAACTCTCACATTTCAGTAATTACCTTGAATATGAATGGACTAAATGCACCACCGAAAAGACATAGAATGGCAAAGTGGACAAAATATCACCAGGCAACAATATATTGCCTTCAAGAGACTCATCTCACTAGAAAGGACACACGCAAACTCAAAGTAAGAGGATGGGAAACAAATTTTCAGGTGAATGGAACACAAAAGAAAGGAGGAGTCGCGATCTTAATCTCAGACAAAATACCCTTTAAGCTATCAAAAATTTAAAAAGATACAGAAGGCCACTACATAATGATAAAAGATTCAATCCATCAACAGGAAATATCTATCCTAAACATATA